TTTTTTTAATCACAATTTTTTTAGTTAATCGTGTGAGTTAACTCTAACTAATTGAGAGCCCTAATATAAAATGGAGTCTAAATTAGCTGTTAACACAGAAGAAAGATCTTGGAGTCACTGTGGATAGTTCCCTGAAAACATCTGCTCAGTGTGCAGTGGCAGTCAAAAAAAAAATCTAACAATGTTAGGAACCATTATATACAAAATTAAGGGGTCTAAATTAGCTGTTACCTCTCAAAGAGATCTTAGAGTCATGGATAGTTCTCTGAACACATCTGCTTAAGGTACATAGTATTAGGAACCATTAAGACAGAGAGAGAAAATAAGACAGAAAATATCACAATGCCACTATATAAATCCCTGGTATGCCCACGCCTTGAATATTGCATGCAGTCCTGGGTGCCCTATCTCAAAAAGGATATATATTAGAAGAGCAACAAAAATGACTGGGGAACTGGAACGGCTTAAACAGACTAAAAAGACTTGAATTGTTCAGTTTAGAAAAGATACAACAAAGTGGGGGGGGATACTCACATGACTGGAGTACTGTCATGGATGGTTATAAACTGTTCAGGAAGGACAGGCAGGGCAGAAAAGGTGGGGGAGTTGCACTGTATGTAAGGGAGCAGTATGACTACTCAGAGCTCCGGTACGAAACTGCAGAAAAACCTGAGTGTCTCTGGATTAAGTTTAGAAGTGTGAGCAACAAGAGTGATGTAGTGGTGGGAGTCTGCTATAGACCACCGGACCAGGGGGATGAGGTGGATGAGGCTTTCTTCTGGCAGCTCGCAGAAGCTACTAGATCACACGCCCTGGTTCTCATGGGTGACTTTAATCTTCCTGATATCTGCTGGGAGAGCAATACAGCGGTGCGTAGACAATCCAGGAAGTTTTTGGAAAGCGTAGGGGACAATTTCCTGGCGCAAGTGCTAGAGGAGCCAACTAGGAGGAGAGCTTTTCTTGACCTGCTGCTCACAAACTGGGAAGAATTAGTAGGGGAAGCAAAAGTGGATGGGAATCTGGGAGGCAGTGACCATGAGTTGGTTGAGTTCAGGATCCTGACACAGGGAAGAAAGATAAGCAGCAGGATATGGACCCTGGACTTCAGGAAAGCAGACTTCGACTCCCTCAGGGAACGGATGGGTAGGATCCCCTGGGGGACTAACATGAAGGGGAAAGGAGTCCAGGAGAGCTGGCTGTATTTCAAGGAATCCCTGTTGAGGTTACAGGGACAAACCATCCCGATGTGTCGAAAGAATAGTAAATATGGCAGGCGACCAGCTTGGCTTAACGGTGAAATCCTAGGGGATCTTAAACATAAAAAAGAAGCTTACAAGAAGTGGAAGATTGGACATATGACCAGGGAAGAGTATAAAAATATTGCTCGGGCATGTAGGAATGAAATCAGGAGGGCCAAATAGCACTTGGAGCTGCAGCTAGCGAGAGATGTCAAGAGTAACAAGAAGGGTTTCTTCAGGTATGTTGGCAACAAGAAGAAAGCCAAGGAAAGTGTGGGCCCCTTAATGAATGAGGGAGGCAACCTAGTGACAGAGGATGTGGAAAAAGCTAATGTACTCAATGCTTTTTTTGCCTCTGTCTTCACAAATAAGGTCAGCTCCCAGACTGCTGCGCTGGGCATCACAACATGGGGAATAGATGGCCAGCCCTCTGTGGAGAAAGAGGTGGTTAGGCACTATTTAGAAAAGCTGGACGTGCACAAGTCCATGGGGCTGGACGAGTTGCATCCGAGAGTGCTAAAGGAATTGGCGGCTGTGATTGCAGAGCCATTGGCCATTATCTTTGAAAACTCGTGGCGAACAGGGGAAGTCCCGGATGAATGGAAAAAGGCTAATGTAGTGCCAATCTTTAAAAAAGGGAAGAAGGAGGATCCTGGGAACTACAGGCCAGTCAGCCTCACTTCAGTCCATGGAAAAATCATGGAGCAGGTCCTCAAAGAATCAATCCTGAACCGCTTACATGAGAGGAAAGTGATCAGGAACAGTCAGCATGGATTCACCAAGGGAAGGTCATGCCTGACTAATCTAATCGCCTTCTGTGGTGAGATTACTGGTTCTGTGGATGAAGGGAAAGCAGTGGGTGATGTATTGTTTCTTGACTTTAGCAAAGCTTTTGACACGGTCTCCCACAGTATTCTTGTCAGCAAGTTAAAGAAGTATGGGCTGGATAAATGCACTATAAGGTGGGTAGAAAGTTGGCTAGATTGTCGGGCTCAACAGGTAGTGATCAATGGCTCCATGTCTAGTTGGCAGCCGGTGTCAAGTGGAGTGCCCCAGGGGTCGGTCCTGGGGCTGGTTTTGTTCAATATCTTCATAAATGATCTGGAGGATGGTGTGGATTGCACTCTCAGCAAATTTGCGGATGATACTAAACTGGGAGGAGTGGTAGATAGGATACAGAGGGACCTAGACAAATTGGAGGATTGGGCCAAAAGAAATCTGATGAGGTTCAATAAGGATAAGTGCAGGGTCCTGCACTTAGGACGGAAGAACCCAATGCACAGCTACAGACTAGGGACCGAATGGCTAGGCAGCAGTTCTGCGGAAAAGGACCTAGGGGTGACAGTGGACGAGAAGCTGGATATGAGTCAACAGTGTGCCCTTGTTGCCAAGAAGGCCAATGGCATTTTGGGATGTATAAGGAGGGGCATAGCGAGCAGACTGAGGGACGTGATCGTTCCCCTCTATTCGACATTGGTGAGGCCTCATCTGGAGTACTGTGTCCAGTTTTGGGCCCCCCACTACAAGAAGGATGTGGATAAATTGGAGAGAGTCCAGCGAAGGGCAACAAAAATGATTAGGGGTCTGGAACACATGACTTATGAGGAGAAGCTGAGGGAACTGGGATTGTTTAGTCTGCAGAAGAGAAGAATGAGGGGGGATTTGATAGCTGCTTTCAACTACCTGAGAGGTGGTTCCAGAGAGGATGGTTCTAGACTACTCCTCAGTGGTAGAAGAGGACAGGACAAGGAGTAATGGTCTCAAGTTGCAGTGGGGGAGGTTTAGGCTGGATATTAGGAAAAACTTTTTCACTAGGAGGGTGATGAAACACTGGAATGCGTTTCCTAGGGAGGTGGTAGAATCTCCTTCCTTAGAAGTTTTTAAGGTCAGGCTTGACAAAGCCTTGGCTGGGATGATTTAATTGAGGATTGGTCCTGCTTTGAGCGGGGGGTTGGATTAGATGACCTCCTGAGGTCCCTTCCAACCCTGATATTCTATGATAGAGGTCTATAAAATCACACAACAGACAATCTGTGGGACTGATTGTCAGGGGATGTTGTGAAGGCTAAATGTATAACTTGGCTCAAAAAGGAATTCATGAGGATAGGTCATCAGTGGCCCTTAGTTAAAATGGCTAAGGATGCAACCTCTTGCTCTGGGTGCCCCTGTATCTCTGACTCCAGAAGCTGGGACTGGACAACAGGGGATGGATCACTTGATAAATTGCCCTGTTCTGTTCATTCCCTCTGAAGCATCTGGCACCAGCCACTGCTGGAAGACAGAAGTCTGGGCAAGATGGACAATTGGTCTGACTCAGCATGGCCATTCTTATGCTCTTACTGTATGTGAGCTCCAATGATCCTACAAGCCTCAAGGCCAAAAAGACAATAGTTTAGCTAAACTAATCAAAAGATAAGGCTCAAAAAGCCTTAGCATAAACAGCTAACCAGCAGCAACCCTAGATCATAGAATATTCGGGTTGGAAGAGACCTCAGGAAGTCATCTAGTCCAATCCCCTGCTCAAAGCAGGACCAACACCAACTAAATCATCCTAGCCAGGGCTTTGTCAAGTCGGGCCTTAAAAACCTCTAAGGATGGAGATTCCACCACCTCGGTAGGTAACCCATTCCAGTGCTTCACCACCCTCCTAGTGAAATAGTGTTTCCTAATATCCAACTTAGACCTCCCACACTGCAACTTGAGACCATTACTCCTTGTTCTGTCATCTGCTACCACTGAGAACAGCCCAGCTCCATCCTCTTTGGAACCCCCTTCAGGTAGTTGAAGGCTGCTATCAAATCCCCCCTTAATCTTCTCTTCTGCAGACTAAATAACCCCAGTTCCCACAGCCTCTCCTCATAAGTCATGTGCCCCAGTCCCCTAATTATTTTCGTTTCCCTCCGCTGGACTCTCTCCAATTTGTCCACATCCTTTCCGTAGTGGGGGGACCAAAACCAAGATCATGAGATCACACGATAGAATGCTGTAATAACCCAACTGCTGATAGATGACCACACGATGCCAGTTGATATCAGCTTTAGATATTTTTAAGTTAGGAACATCAGCGGATGTCTGACCACCGGAAGGTCATGGTAACTAACTGAAGTATATGCTAATGAACTTGAGGTAAAAGGCCTACTAACGTATGGGAGAAGGGCACCTCAGCATTACTAGGTGAGGAAATACAGATAAGGAAAAGGGGTTGAAACCCCTACTGAATATGCATTAGGCATAGGGGTGTCAGCATAACCTGTTATAAAAGTTTTATCCCAGCCTGCATGCCTTTGGAGATGCCAGGACAATGGCCACTACTGGTGATGATGATGGTGAGGATGAGGACTAACACTTCAGGTTTTTCTGCATGTCGGTATATATGGTGTGAGTATATAGTTTCTCAGATACTCATTTTATGTTACCCACTGGTGATCAGCTGTTCAGCGGCGTGCAGGAGGTGCTGGGCGGGGAAGGGGAGGAGCGGGGCAGAAAGAGGAAGGGGGTGGAATGGGATGAGAAGAGGCTGGGAAGAGGTGGGTCAGGGGTGGGGCCTTTGGGGGAAGGGGTGGAGTAGGGGCAGGGCCTGGGGCAGAGCGGGGGGGGTTGAGCACTCCCAGGGAACTCTGAAGTCAGCGGCTCAGTCTCCTTTCATAGCTTATTCAGAGCATGTTCTCCATGTGCAGTGCAGGGGTTTGAATGGCTTTCAGTGCAGGATGGTGATCGTATCACAGGTGCATGTTCTTACCACACACCAACTTGTTCGCTCACCTCACCAGGTCCATGAAGGCATCAGTTGTTTGCACCTGCTCAATCTTGCCCTCCCGGTGCAGTTTGTCCTTGGACCCTTTGCCTGGATGGATGATGATCACCATAAGGATGCCGATGAAGACCGCGATGATGGTGGTCACCATGTAGTAGACTACGGCCCGCATCCCCATCTTCCCAGACGCTTTGCCATCCAGCGAGGCCATGCCTGGGCAGCCACACACAAAACAAGACAAGGGTGTCTACCTCTTACATTAGTGGGGTGAGGGGCTGGAGGGAGATTTTGAGGGTGCAGGGGAATGTGGGATGCAGGAAGCAGATTTTGGGGGCTCTAAGGGGATGTGGGGTGTGGAAGAAGGCTGTGGGAGTGCAGGGGACTATGGATTGAAGAGGAGGAATCAGGGAGATTGGGGGGTTGGAAGGCAGGGTTTGGGGGGCAGAGATGTGGGAGCAGAGGAAAGTGAGGTGCAGGAGGCAGACTTTGTGGGGAGTAGGGGGTGTAGGAGGCAGATTTTGGAGGCTGCAGAGGAATATGGGATGTAGGAGGCAGGCTTTGGGGTATGTAGGGAAATGTGGGGGCAGAAAGCAAACTTTGTGGGGCATAGGAGGCAGACGAGAAGCATGAGGAGACTAGGGGGTGCAGAGAAATGGGGTGACAGAAAATGAGGAGAAGGATAAAGGAGAAGGGAGTGAAAGGTGGGGGCAGGGGGTCTGGAGACAGGAGCCTTTGGGGGCCCTTGGGGGGTGGGGAGGAGGGATGTGAATGATGAGGCAGAGCAGGTGGGCAGTGAGGATAAGGAGCCAGGACAGTGATTGGGGAGGGGGCTGGAGAGGCTGGAATAGCTGCTGTGTTAGCGGAGGGGAAAGGGAGCCCCCTCCAAGCAGCCATTGGGCAACCCACAGTTTTGCCTGGCTATCTCAGGTGCACTGTGACCCTGCAATGCTCACACACACACACACACTTCGGGGGTGGGCACTTCCTCCTAATGCCTGAAGGCAAATGAATACCTCCAGCCCCTCCCTGCCCCCCAGTGCATCTTTAAGTATCAGGATTGCAGGGCCTGGATCATGGTGCCTGAGGGCTGGCAGGACCATCAGGCTTGCTCCTCACCCTTCTCAGAAGACCTCAGTAAGACCTTCTGCCACCCTGACCTCCACACCAAGGCAGCCAGGGGACAGACAGGTCAATCCCACTTCCCATAGCCCCAGCCAAGGCCTGGACCTGCAGCGGGAGCTGGGTCATTGGCTGGCAGCACCTTTGCAGGGTGCTGCATGGCCTGTAGGATGCAGATGGCTGCAAGCACCAGGAAAGGTCCCTCACCCGTGACCAGGCTGGAGACAATGAGGGGAAGAACCAGCATCTGGAGCATCCGCATCAGCAGCTCTCCTGGGAAGGAGAAATACTTGATCTGGCGATAGGTCATCTTGTAGGGTCGGAGCGCAAAGGCCAAAATGATCCCTGAGAAACAAGGGATAAGAAGGGAAATCTGTGCAATCAAAGGGTTAAACACAGCCCCCTGTGAGAGGCCTGTCCTGTTAGCCATTGCCTCGGTGAGCAGGAATGTGCCAGGCATGGAGAATGGCCCTTTCCCCAGGATAAGGATTCCTGGGACCCTCCCTTATTACAAGGGATACTGCTCATATAAACAGTGAGCTCCCAGTCTGGTAAACAGGAGCCACACCATGAGAGTGCATCAGCCAGCCAGCCCTCATCAAGGGGGGAACAGCACTACTCTACACTTCCCTGCTGCACTTCTGGGTTGTATTTCCAGCCATGTAGCTCACCAATGCAAACACTTCAAGGCTAGAAGAGTCCATCTGACCTCCTGCATATCACAGGCTAGAAATTTCACCCCGTGATTCTGCAGCGAGCCAATTGAAATGGTTGAGCTAGAGTGGATCTTTTAGAAAAAGATGTCCAGTCTTGATTTAAAGAATCCAAGTGACAGAGATTCTACCATGTCCTAAGGCGAGTTACAGGACTGCTCCTTGCCTCAGTTTCCCCTCTGGGCAGTGGGGATAGGGAGATTTACCCTGTTGGGGCTGGGAGGCTTCCTGAGGGACTGTCAGTAAAGCTCTCAGAGAGCCTTGTGCAGCGGAGGTTTAGTGTCACTTAGTGTTTAGTGTCACTTAGCGGAGGTTTAGTGTCACTTTCCGTAGTTCCCTCCTGAGGCTGGCTGTTATAAGCCCCCGCATGCTGGAACCATGCTGCTTTGCACATGAGCAGTGACTTGTGCCTGAGGTTCTCTGTTATCCTCACTTTCCCAGTAGCAGCAAACCCCCTTAGTGGAGACACAGCTTATAGCAGCAGAGGGCTTTTTAGCTAGTAAAGCTGTACAGTTCCCCAAGGGAAATGATCTAAATAAGTCCTTTTGCTGGAATAACTGTATCTAAATGAGCACTTTTTCCCTCTACAAACTGTTGTAAAGAATCACCCCTGCCCACCATCCTTACACCAGCAAACATTCCTAGTGCAGAGCCAGCCAACTCTGTGAGGTGAAGCCCGGCTTTGCATTCCAGGTGAGAACAGTGTCCAGTACAATAGGGCCCTGATCCCTCACAGGCATCTGTAGATGCTCTTGCAATGCAATGCCTGATAATGGAGGCACTGAGAGATGAAGGGACTTGCCCAAGGGCACAGAGTGTGCTTGTGGCAGAACCCTGACCTCAGCACACTTCTTTAATCACTCTTTGTGCTAGCTTAATGAATCTCCCCAGGCAGCACAGCACCACCCTGCAGGCCCCAGGCTCCCTACCCAGTAGGACAGCAGTGATGGTGAAGAGGACGAAGGCATTTCTCCTGAGGAAGCTCTTGGCGCTGTCTTTGGTGATGCTGTGCATCCGCTTCTTGGCCCGTGCTGCCTGCTCCTGCACTGCCTGTTGGAAGCGCTGCACCCGGTTGTTGGAGCTGAGCCGCTTGGCTGACTCCTCATTCAAGAAGAGGCTGTTCACATGGCCCCGCTGCTCACTCATAATCAGATCAAGCTCCTGGTCCAGAAGACACAGCTCTTGTCTGTGGGAGGAGAGAAGCAGAGTGGAGAGTCAGAAGGCAGCATGAAATTTCCCTAACCTTGACAGTGCCGCCCTGGCCCTCCAGATATAACTACTCAGGCTGATTGGGAAGCAGTTCTGGAAAGCCCCATAAAGAAATCTGATGAGGTTCAACAAGGACAAGTGCAGAGTCCTGCACTTAGGACGGAAGAATCCAATGCACTGCTACAGACTATGGACCGAATGGCTCGGCAGCAGTTCGGCAGAAAAGGACCTAGGGGTGACAGTGGACGAGAAGCTGGATATGAGTCAACAACAGTGTGCCCTTGTTGCCAAGAAGGCCAATGGCATTTTGGGATGTATAGGTAGGGGCATTGCCAGCAGATCAAGGGACGTGATCATTCCCCTCTATTCGACATTGGTGAGGTCTCATCTGGAGTACTGTGTCCAGTTTTGGGCCCCACACTACAAGAAGGATGTGGAAAAATTGGAAAGAGTCCAGCGGAGGGCAACAAAAATGATTAGGGGACTGGAACTCATGACTTATGAGGAGAGGCTGAGGGAACTGGGATTGTTTAGCCTGCGGAAGAGAAGAATGAGGGGGATTTGATAGCGGCTTTCAACTACCTGAAAGGGGGCTCCAAAGAGGATGGATCTAGACTGTTCTCAGTGGTAGCGGATGACAGAACAAGGAGTAATGGTCTCAAGTTGCAGTGAGGGAGGTTTAGGTTGGATATTAGGAAAAGCTTTTTCACTAGGAGGGTATTCACAAAAAGAAAAGGAGTACTTTAGTGAAAAATATTTTCCACTGAATGCATCCGATGAATTGAGCTGTAGCTCACAAAAGCTTATGCTCAAATAAATTGGTTAGTCTCTAAGGTGCCACTAGTACTCCTTTTCTTTTTAGTTTAAAAGCTACAATTCTATTGTTTCTCCCAAGCATCAGGGGAACAGCAGCCCCTCTGAGGGGAATGCAAGTACTGGCTTAGGTGTGCCTGAGACTGGATGGACATTCTCACTCCTTTTCAAGAGAATTTGAGAGCTGGACAATGCTGAGATTTCTCCTTCTCCATCCAGCTGATATTTTTTTTAAATATACAAATGATTCCATAGAAGCCCAGGGAGCAAACCAAACTTCCCAAAGTGGTGTTGCAGAAACAATTTTGTATAAGGAAAAACAGCCCCTGTTATTTTCGTGGACATAGAGGAAAGAAGCAAAAGCCCTCTGTAGCTTTCACAGAGTGGGAAAGTTGTGATTTTTTTCAATTGCACAGCTTTCAAACAGCATGTCTGAGGCTATGTATACACTACTCTGAGATCGATCCACCGGCGGTCCATTTACTGGGTCTAGTAAAGACCTGTCAAATCGACAGCAGATTGCCCTCCAGTTGACCCCTGTACTCTACCTCCGAGGAGAAGAGTAAGGTAAGTCGACGGGAGGTCAATCTCCCATAATGTAGACCCCGTGGTAAGTTGACCTAAGGTACATCGACTTCAGCTTTGTTATTCACGTAGCTGGAGTTGTGTAGCATAGGTCGACTTACCGCGGTAGTGTAGACAAACATCTTCATTGCTTCTTTCACCCCTAAAACAAGCTGAAAGAATTCTTCCTGGTTGTATTTTCACTGGCACGCTGGAGTCCTTTCTTGTGTTTACAGATCTTAAGGTCAAAAGCACCTCTTTCTCTCTAGAGAGGCAAATAATGGACCTACTTCTGCTCTCAGTTACACCAGTGAAAATGTGGAGCAAATCCAGAAAAGTCAATGGAGTTAACTTTGATTTACACCAGTGTGACCGACTGTGCAAGCTCATTCCTTGACTTTATAAAGTTTCATGATTCCCTGAAAGTGACAGTGAGTGAGTGCGTGAGAGTTTGCGTGTTGTGGGACTGGGATTGAGTGTGTGCTTTTTAACTTTAATTAAAATTTGTATTGTTTTGTGAGTGTGTATGTGTCTGTGTGTGAATCTGAGTATGACAGTGTAAGTGTGTGAATATGTGTATTTGAGCATGTGTGATTGCAAAGTGTGTATGAGTGAGTGTGTATGCACAATTACACTATTATCCCTGAAAAGAGTCTGATGGATGGAAAAGGTGAAATTTTATCTATGTCCAAAATGACAAATTCACCCCAAATGAGAAAATTTCTTTTATCATGTGGCTCAGTTGTTGGCCTCTTCCACAACCCAGCCACTCATTCCCCCTCATCGGTGCTACTGTTGTGTGAGATTATGTTCCTTGCTATTTGGAAAAATTGGAACAATTGCACTTTTTAATTAGTCCTCAGTTAGAGTGATTTTAAAGCTCCTCTGGCTCCCCAAATGCAACCTTCTTCTTCTAAGGCTGGGAAGTGCTGAGTCCCAGATCAGATGTTATAGGCAAGGCTAAGGTTGCCCAACATTCCCCATCATAAGACCCTGTTTTCAGCTGCATATATCTTTGTCAAACTTGAACCATTTTGGATTAAATTTTATATGCCAAGTGTCTACCTCAGGCTGAATTTTTTGGAAAATGTCAGCCAAAATGCTGCCACCTTTTTGAAAAACAAGGTTAGTGAAAATATGTTGTTTTCCCCATGTCAAAAAATTCTGGTGACCTTTTCTTTAAGAAGTCTAAGACCCCAATGTTTTGGAGATAATAGATAGATAATAGAACAGAAAATATCATATTGTCTCTATATAAATCCATGGTATGGCCACATCTTGAATACTGCATGCACCTGTGGTTGCTCCATCTCAAAAAAGATATATTGGAATCAGAAAAGGTTCAGAAAATGGCAACAAAAATTATTAGGGATATAGAACGGCTTCCGTATGAGGAGAGATTAATAAGACTGGGACTTTTCAGCTTGCCAAATCACAAGCCTTTGAAAAATTTCAGTTTACACATGCTCAGTAGAGGGTGGCTAGAGCTTTGAAGTTAAATCCCCTGAAAATTTCATCCATACAGATCATGGCCCTCATGGGGGAGGGACAGCTCAGTGGTTTGAGCATTGGCCTGCTAAATCCAGGGTTGTGAGTTCAATCCTTGAGGGGGCCATTTAGGGATCTGGGGCAAAAATTGGGGATGGGTCCTGCTTTGAGCAGGGGGTTGGACTAGATGCCTCCTGAGGTCCCTTCCAACCCCGATATTCTGTGAGGCTGAACAGGCCTTTTCCTGCAATTGCAACTCTTGGTTGCTGTGGGCTGGGGCCAGTTCCAGATCTGTGCACAGGAACTGAAAGCAGGGAACCTATTTCTCCTGTGCTCTCAATGATCCCCTTACTAGGCCCAGGCAACATGGATGAGGACTGGCTGGGCAAAGAGATGGGGACAAAGAGTTGGCGGGGGGTGAAACTGAGATTGGACAGGGAGCTCAGAGAGGGAGACTGGGAGCCACTGGGGATGGGAAACGTGGACAGGATGGGGAGTGACTGCAGGCCAGGAGACAGAAAGAGACAGATTAGAGGAAGAGATGGGAGGCAGAAACTGGGACTGTCTGGGAAAGGAAACTAGGACTGGATGAGAAGCCTGAGGAGTGAAGAGTGGTGACTAGAATGGGACTGAGATCAGCAGCCAGGCTGGGGAAGAGGTAGAACTAGGACAAGGACAGATTGCAGGGGATGGGGCAGAAGGGGTCAAGCTTGAGTGGAAGGGGCAGAAGAGTCTGTGCCCACAAAAGCACATGTCCCTCCAGAGCCTGGAATGGAACCCAAGATCCCTGAGTCTCACTGTCCTCTGCTGCCAGCAAATTTCTGTGAAACCCACTGGCAAAGGGTCCCATTCCCCTCGAGTGCTGGGCCATATAGAGGATGACAACCTACCACTGCTACCAGTTACTCCATTAGCTCAAGTCACAGAGGTCTGTGTGGTGGATCTAAAGGTTCCAACCTGCTGATGACCATGTGGTCATAAGACTATAGCCCACTCTACTTGAATGACCCCTTACAATATGTGCTAACTACTTATGCTAAACAATCTGTTCCATCTTGCATTTTGCTGTGACTCTGGGCGTAAATTTCCCAGACCTGAAGAAGAGATCTGTGTGGCTTGAAAGCTTGTGACTCTCACCAACAGAAGTTGGTCCAATAAAAGATATGACCTCACCCACCTTGTATCTATAATATTCTGGGACTGCCACAGCTACAACTACACTGCATATAACTTCACTATATTAGATTCAAGCAAAGTTTCACACCACATGCTTCAGCAGATTATGGACCAAACTCTCAGGTCAGGACCCCTCCCATAGAGTCCAACAAATGCTTCCTTTGTCTCATCAGGGTGAATATGATGGGCAGGGAGAGAGAGGGGAGTGCCTTGGGGTGTTTGTCCCTCCTTTTTATAGCTTCCCCTCCTGAAAAACATTTCCAGCTGGGTACTAGGAGACAAAGGCCTGGTCTACACCACATGGTTAGGTCGGCACACGGCAGATTACCTTGATCTAGCTCTGGAATTGGCTTCACTTAAATTTGGCTCCTGCTGATGTAAGTGCCTCGCTACGCTGACTTCATAACACCACCTCCCCAAGCAGCATAAAGTCAGGGTCAATGTAATTAGTTAACGCAGTGTCAGTGTAGACACTGCGTTACTGACATAGACTGTTACTGGTTTCCAGGAGCTGTCCCACAATGCCCCACATGACTACTCTGGTTACCGATGTGAATGCTGTTGCCCAGGGGTCAGGTGGACAGGAAGCCGTCCCTCTCCTTTAAAGCTCTGTGAATTTTTGAAGTTTCTTTTCCTGGTTGCCTGGCTTGGTGAGCACACCTAGCAGCTCTCGACTGTTGTAACTTCCCAGCTGACTATGCCGGCTGCACACTCCAGACGCACTCCTGTCTGGACTACACAGGAGGTGGTGGATCTCCTGGGCCAGTGGAGAGAAGAGGCTGTGCAGGCAGAGCTCCGATCTTGCCATAGAAATGTGAATATCTATAAGCAAATTGCTCAGGGGATGCAGGAGAAGGACTACCACAGGACCAGCAGCAGAGCCGCGTGAAAGCCAAGTAGCTGCGGCAGATGTAGCAGAAGGCCAGGGAGGCCAAT